CATTGGCCCCTTTCATGATAATATTCTGAATTATGCCACTTTTCTTACCTACTTTATGGTTCTGGAGTTTGCCTTTGTCACTGATACTAAATTATCCACCTAAGTCTTTAGATTGTCAAAAGTTTAAAAAAAAAAAGCAAATAATTCATTATCTGACAATGACTCAGGTTCCCTAGAACACAAGTGGTTAAGAGCTTATCTCATGTTCAAATCTTAAAATGGACTGAGAGGGTCACTTTTTTAACAAAGAAAAAAAATGCAGAAGTGGATTGCTTGCATTGATGTTTTCATTGAAATATTGAACTTTCAATAAGCAGACGTAGCACATAACATACCCACATCACAGAGAAAGCAACACCTTACCTTTGATGCGAACCAGCACCCCTTTTTACTCAAAATAACCTGAAAGAAAAAGGTTGAAACCCCATGAGTTTTTAGAATATTAACTGAATTATTTACAGAAAACAGATCTAATCGTTTTGTTATTTCTGGGGATGAAAGAAACAGAGGAAGAGAGAAAAGAAATTACCCGTTTAATTGACGAGTCGAATCTCAGACCCTCCACTTCCGCCATTTTTGTGAATTGTGAGGAAAAAAGCGATGCTGAGACAGAGAGAGCGGAACATGGGAATTGTTCGACATTTTTAATCAACCATGTTAGGCCCCCCACGGCCCCCACTAAAGCGTAAAACCCACTCCGTATTTTAACTCTATTTATTTTATGTCTGTACCTCATATTTCCATTGTTTAAAAATATGATAATAAATCCGTACACGCCTACCTCTTGAACCTCTGATTATTTTAAAATAAGATTTTTATATTAACATTTTTTTTTTGGTAGAATATTTTTATATTAACATTAGAAGTCTGAATTAGGGTTTTCGCACAGAAACTTTTATGTTTTGGAAAACTTTTGATAAGGGAATTGGGAATTCAATTAAAATTGAAAATGAAGAGTGTGAAAGAAATTTTATATTGATTGCATCAAAATTGGTTGACTTAAAGCTTACAGAATTTAGATTGCATCTCAATTTCAAGAAATTAATTACAAACTAGTACATGATATAAGACAAAATAAACAAGCCATCTAAACACACCAATCTAATATGAACAATGTGGCTCTGAACAATTAACTATAGGCCAGTTACAACCAAAAGAAAAACTATGGTCCTATTTCTCTGATTTTAATTAATAATCATCCATGTTTATCCTTTTGGCTTTGTCAAGGATCATTGGAACCATGTTCAAAAAAAAAAAAAAAAGGATCATTGGAACCACCTCATCTGTTTATTTAAATATGGCACTATAAATTTGGCAGATGGTGCTACAATTAAAAATAAAGGTCAAGAAATAAAGGTTAGTGATTGTATTAACCGCCACCAGATCATTAATTTCAAATTCCAAAAAATATTTACTAAAAAGGGGTAGTGAATAATTCATCATCTTCAAATAAGTCAAATAGCAGTACCAGCAGCAAGAAAATGTTATCAAGCATATGATGGAATTGCTCTAACAAAATCAAAACCCATCTTATAGTTTTGCATCTTGCTCTTGTTACCTCAAAGACATGGCCGCTCCTAGATCATCCACTCTTGTCTTTAGATTTTCATAAAGATTAAAAGAGCAAGCAAACAAATCATTATTATCTACTAATGAGTCACTATGAACAAAAACATGCAGAAGAGATTTGCTTAGATTGTTGTTTCCATTGAAATAAACAGACCTAGCACATAACTTAAACATACCCACTGCACAGAGAAAACAAGACCTTACCTTTGATGCCAATCAACAACACTTTTAACTCAGAAACCTGGAGAAAAGTTGAAAAGCCATGAGATTATATAATTAGTCACATAAAATAGAACTGATTTCCAGTTTTGTGATTTCTAGAGATGGAGAAACATGGGAAGGGAGAAAAGAAATCACCCTGATTGCCTATATAAATTCCCAACCCTCCATTTTTGTGAAGAAACACAAAAAAAGAGTAATATGGGAATTGATGATTTTAGTGCTACCGTACATCTCTGGATCATCTGACTATAAATTAGGGTTTATGTTTCTCTCCAAGTCTAAATTCAAAAGCTTTTAATAAGCAAGTTGGGAATTCAATTAGAATAGAAAATAAAGAATGTGATAGAAACATATATTAAGGACATCAAACTTTAGTTGAACTAAAGCCAACAGAGTATCTCAGCTTCAAAGAAGTTATTACAAATTAGATGATACAAAAACAAAAGGGAAAAACAAACCATCTAAACAGACCTTTAAATTCAAAAAAGAAAAAAATAATAAAATGAAATTAAGAGGAGAGGTTGCAATTGTTGATGAGGGATCCTGTTGTAGCTGAAAATAAATACTGGAATTTCACTTTGCAAGATGAGTCCTTGGGGTGATGAAACTCCTTGTACCTAAAAAGCAATAATAAGAAGTGATTTGCTCTATTATTCTTTTTAATCAAATAATGAAAGTTGTTATACAAGATTGGCATAAATGTGTACCTACTTCTCCAGGCTGTAGGGGGAGACTGATGGCTCTTAAAACTTCAATTTTATTCACCATCCGGAGACATGCTCTGTCACCAGCAAAACAAATGCTGCTACAATTAAATAAAGGCAGTCTTTCAAGTTGCTGAGGCAGATTCTCATGTTGTTGAACAACAGATGTTTCCAAGAATGATCTAACTTCACAGCCAGACTCCCACAAAACAAATGATTGCTCCTAGTTCCATACCTGGTTCAAACGATTTCCAGAATTCTACTCCGTCTTCTTTGTTTTCTTTGCCACCGCAGTCTGTTGGCTTGCTCTTTGATTTTCCTTCTTCCAGGCAAGTTGGTCTTAGAGGAAGCCCACAGAGTTCAGGATTACCAACAAATGCAGAAGCATCAAAGGTCTGCATTTGGGTTGATAATGGGATTCTTCCAGAAAAGTTGTTATATGACAGGTTCAAAGTATTGAGAAAATTTAAATGGGACATGCTCCAAGGAAGCTGACCTGAAAGCTGGTTTTGTGACAAGTCAAGTGATTCTAACTGTCTAATCTGCCCAATATCTGAAGGAATCCTTCCTGTCAACTGATTTCTTGACAAGTTCAGCTAATGCGGTCCAGAGAGACTCGAAATCTTGACTGGAATTTCTCCTCTTAATTTGTTGCTTGAAAGATTGATGATCCTCAGACTCTTGAGATTACCATCTCCATAATCACATTCCATTCCTTTCCACATTACAGATGCTTTGTCAACGTAGCTTCTTGCATGAAAGAAATACAAATCAATACTTAATAAACCATGCTTACTGACTGAACTTTCCTTTTTTGTTAATGCAGTCAGATTATGTATGCACCTTGGTATGCTTTTAGATAGATTGTGGTTGGAGAGATCCATTAGCATAATATTTGTCAACCAGCATAACTGCAAGGGCAAAATCATTGGATCTCAGCAGGAGGAAAGCTAGTGATCTTAACCTTTCTCCAATTCAAGCTGGTATTATTCCAGAGAATCTATTATAAATCAAATCCACAAATTGCAAGGCACTACAATTCCCTAAAGACCAAGGTATTTCTCCAGAGAAACTGTTGTCGCGCAAATTGAACGTTTCAAGTTGGTACAAAGATCCAATAGAGCTTGGAATTTTCCCAAATAATTGATTATTAGCCAAATTCACAATTACTAGACTTGTCTATCGTGTCAATGCAATTAGGAAGCTGTCCGGATAGTTGATTGTGCCAAAGATCAAGGAAATTAGGGATCATACTAGTTATGGTACAAAGCGAAGAAATTGAACCACAAAACCTATTTTTTGAGAGGTTAATGAATGTGACATTATGAGGGAATGCTGGTAATGGTAATGGACCCTCCATATTATTTCTATTCAAATCCACCCCAAGAGAACCAGAAATTATCATTGACAAATCTGGCACAATTCCAGAAATCATCGTTCCCGTGAGAAACCCTATCCGACTCCTCTCGACAATTTAAAATGTCACTTGAGAAAAATATGGTTATTATATTAGTTGTAATTGCTGATGAAGCATCACCATATGCCCAGTTGCATCACCATATGCTCAGTTTTTGGGCTACCTACATTGAACTCTCTCCATTTGCAGCAATCTTTTTTGGTCTCCTTCACTCCCCCACGAGGCAACCCAGCCCTGATAATGCT